AGAGCGGGAAGGAGCGTGCCTGTTACGCACTGGGGCATTTTGACAAAAGCAGACTGGCATCTTGTTTCCCAAGCTGCATAACCAAGGCTGCTCCTCAGAGGAGCGGGGAGAAGCAGCAGCGAAGGCCGCTCGGAGAGGGGTGGTCGATGCTGGAGCACGGACGTGCCGTCGGAGTCACTTGCGCGCCCCACAGCCGCAGCACCGCTCAGCGCCGGGGCTCTGGCTTTCACGGTCTCCGCAGGCTCTGAGCGTGCCAGGAACGCTTCAACGCTTGCTCTTTTCTCAGGCACTCGTGGGAGCAGGGAAGCTGCAGGCTTGGCTGGGACTGGAAGGGGAGGCCCTATTTGCATGCTGGTTGTTGTTTTTCCTATGGGGAAGTCATGACTGCTCTGGACCGGGTCTGTTGAGACTTGCAGAATCTAAAAAAGCAAGAGTCCGTGCCAAGAAACCTGAGGTTGGCATTTAAAGCCACAACTGGGTGCTGAAATAAACCACCTGATTGTGCGGGCCCACCACAGCACAACAAAGTATGTCAGCATATAGAAACATTGCTGTACACCAGTGTTAAAAAAAAAATCCCTGATACTTCACAGCCTTGATTTTTTAATTTTTAGGTCCCTGAGGGAAGAATCTATTGAAGTCTCCTAAAATGCTTGGCACTGCCACCAGCCGAACTGCTTAGCTCTTTGCATTTGAGCGTGCCTTCAGGGGAATGCTGTTTCTTTTAGAGCATTCAGAATATAAATTAATCCTTACACATGCTTCAAAGCGGTCTGGCAAGTCTGGTCACGAAGCAACGAACTTCCGTCGCTGTCACGTGAACAGGGATGCCCCTTCTTCGTGACTGGCCAGGTGACTTCATTCTCTCTTCTTTGCTGCCTTTGAGGCCGAGAGCTACCGTGACGGACTGAACCGCTGGCTTCTCAGGTCACTCCCGCCGTCCTGGCACCGAGCAGCCGGGCGTGCAGGCACGCTTTCCCCTGGGCTGGCCTCCTCCTCATCGAGCAGTGGGATCAAGGGCTTGGAGACCAGACTGCTGAGGCTTCTGCTCAGTTCCTCGGAAGTGAACCATGAGGGTGGAGAGCAAGTCCAGGGCAGGCAGGAGGGTTCCCCACGGCAGCAGGGGGAAGGAAGGGCACATCCAAAGGATGCTTCTGCCCTCCTTACAACTCGAATTATCCTCTGGGGGTGCCTCTTCCTCACCCGACCCTGACCATAAGGAATCTAGGTGCCTGGAGCTGGAAAAATAGACAGCAGACCCAAGGGTTTTTCTGAAGTAAAAAGGAAGCCGGGATGTACGTCAAACACGGAAAAAGACTGGCAGACTCAGCGTGGAGGAAGCATAGAGTGAACACCCCTAAGCTGCCTGAGTCTGCTGGACACAGTCTACTCCTTGCTGATTTCTGCATTTCATACAGCCAGCCACTTGGCAGGTAGCAAAGTTCATCGTATCCACGTTGCAAGGTAAGTACTACAAAAGTTATCCATGGTGATCTTTCAAAAATAAGGACCCCACTGTCCCCGGTCTAACTAATGAGAAAGTAATTGACTAAGAAGGGCAAATTCAACACTCCTCCAATCAGTTACTTCTGCTCAGCAGAAGGAAACAATTCCCTCAATAAAATATCCCTTTTTCAGCTACCAAACCTCTTGCACCCGCCCGGAGAAATATCTGATCATTTCAGAGCTGAACATCAGCTGGGAGTCTTGCTCAGTGGTTACCCGCTAACCCAGCTTCCAGTGGTGAGCGCAGCAGAAGCGGAAGCCTTCACGGGGCGGTGTGGGGCTGTGCCTGCCGGCAGGGTCCGGCTCCTTCCACCGTGCGCAGGGCCGCAGTGACACCCAGTGGAAAGCGCCGAGAGGGAAACACCGCAGCTACGCAGGGGTTTCTAAAACCCTTTTTTACGTATGCTATGCTATGAAATATAATGCAAAATAAAAGCTGGTTGTCAGGAGAACACCAGAACCCAGCCCTCAACACAAAAATAGAACGTAAGCGCTAAAACAGAAAACGGATTAAAAATGCATTCTGGTCATTTTTGTCTTATGATACTTATAGCATACCTGACACGTCAGAAAGGAGAAACGAGGCTCTGCGACACACCAGAACTTACAAGGAAGGAACAGGACTAAGATATACTTGTGCACCTTGCAATACTGAGCCCAGCACCTGCGACAGAAAGTTCCCAGAAAAAACTAAGTCCGCGATTGTCAGCTCCCTGCGAGCTGGTGCTGCGGACGCTGCAAAGGGCTGCGCGGAGCACCCTGCTCCCTCGCCCTCCTTTCACATCACCCCTCGGCCACGGTCCGAAACGCTTTCCAGCGGTCAGACCGCGGCCGTCAGCTGCAGAGCCTGCATCGGCCCGCGGGGAGCGGAAGGTCTCACCTCCTGCCTTCTGCAGCTACTATTAACCAAATTACTAGCAACAAGGACAGTAGTGACGGCAGCTGCTTCCTGGTTGGTGACAAGGAGTCAATTTTTAAGCACTTATCAGGCAAGATTTACAATCACAGGATAGATCATTTTATATACTCCAGAAAAAGTTTGGTTTTGGTAAAAGAAAAGAAAATCTCCCCAAACAATAACAACTGCTTTGACTGCGTATTCAAGGATCGCGTTATTATTATATATGCAGGAAAAAAACAAAATATCCGTTAACTGTAGTACTTGGCACACAGTGGTTTTTAGTGCAAGTACATCAGTTCCTTGGCATTTACCCTGCGCACTTCTGGTAGCTGAGGGGATCAAGGTAACTCAGGTGCCTCAGAATACCCGGCCTTCTTTCTTTTTGCCATGCCGCGCAAAATGGCTGGGCATAAAAGCTTCTACTCTGTGCAACGCTGTCTGCTCTTTTTATAAGCTGTCAAGGTACGGATTTTATAAGTAGTGATGTAAGTGCGAGGACGTCAATGCCTTAGTTCTGTTCAGTCTGTGTTGCCTCTTGTATGGATTCTGTCATATTAGCAAAAAATACATATACCACATATTATATTATTATTATAACTGTTATAGCTAGCTAGCATATATTTGAAAACCACTTTTATAGACTACAAAAGTACAGTAACAATAAACTCTCCTTCCATCTGTAGCTCTCAAAGCACTCAAAGAGTAAGTGCTGTCATTACCTCTAGGTTAGCACTGGGAAGTCTGGGCTATGCAGAGATAAACCTGCTTCCCCCAAAGGAAGGCAGCCAGCCAGCGCGTATGTAAAACTCTTAAACCACAGAATATAAACTTTTGATGCTTGCTTCTTTAGAGAATTTACAGTTGAGAATATATTTTTTGTAAATTAGAAGCAATAGTGCCTGTGTCTTTTAATTAATTTATGTTCCAAACATGCATAAAAATCCACAATAACATGAAATGGAAAAAAAAACCAGACAACTGCCAGGATCTTCAGTTGGATTTAGTGTTCTGGGTGCTCAGCTAAGGATGCGTTCCTCCATAAGCTCCAGCTCAAGAACGATTCCAGTACAAAAGCAATCCTGCTGACTGAAACTGGGTTTATAAGCTATGTAAGGTTTTCAAAGTCAGCCTCTCCTGAATATTTCTCAGGGATAAACAGCCTGTGTGGCTTTGTCACACACAATTTACTGTTGGAGAACTGCATAGTGGAAAAACTTAATATTTATTTGCCTTCCTATTTTTACTGATTACCTTTTTATATCTTTAGTATAAACGCAAGGCATGCAAGCTGACTTCTAGATCAGTTACTTTGAAAAAGTTTTAAGAAGTCTTATTTTAAAGACATCAGCCTGAAGTCATTAGCAAAGACAAATCTGTATTCCTTAACAAACTGTGGTGCAGTTTCTCCAAAGAAGGTACCTGTTTCACTACCAAACTTACTCACAACAGGAAAGACAAACAAACTACAGAGAGACATTTACAGAGAGACCTTTGGCTGTATCCAAATCAGTTCATCTTACAGCATGAAAAGCAGGAACGGTCTGCGATTAAAGCACCAGACTGGGAGTCACGAGATCCAGCTTGGCCTCAGGTTATGCGACCTTCAGCAAATTCTTTAGTCTGAAAAAGAGATAAAACTGAGAAAGTTGGAGAGAGATACTTTGTAAAGAGCTCTACAGTTCTCAGGTCAAAATCACTAAGAGTGCAAAGTATTACACAAACTTTTTGGTATATGAATTTACAGAAGTATTTATTTTATTTTAAGAAAAGGACAAACACGGGAAGAAGAATTTGCGTTCTCAGATGTTCAAACAATATACATGTAACGCAGCAAACAGAAATTACAAAGGCCTCCTTGTTAACTGCTGCAGCAAACAAGAAAAAGCCTAACTTCTGTGGGAGACGAAGCCCATTCAGAGCAGCAAGAGTCTCTGAAAAGCGATTACAAAGATCAAACAGCGTTTCTGCCTCCTTATATCCGACATTAGGATGATCAGCTAGTTATAATGGAGGGGAACTAGTGTCAGCAGTCACTGCGGCTAACATTTTAGACAACTTGCAAAAAGGGGCTGGAGCGTGCTGGAAACTTACCTACATAGGCAGGCTTGCTGCTTGTCCGGATTTAATTGGTGTAATCACTCTGAAATAGAGCAAAATAAAAATCAGTAAGTACAGTAGAGTGCAAGAAAGCCAAACCTAAGAGGGATTAGCATTTGTGGTTTAATTCTAATCACAGAGACTACAGTATTTTGAGATCCTTCTCGCAGAAAGTCTCCCTCAAACCTTTCTTACGCACAGCTCCCGTGTTCCCCTTCCAGAGGATAAGGCCACAGATGGCCAGGTCCCTTTCGCCACCTCCCGACCGGGAATGAAGGCAACACGCTTTCACCGCAGGTGCTAAGAGGAATCTCTTCATACCTCATCTCAAGGCCAACGTTGAGTTGTGCGTGCTGAAAATCATTAGAGACTTACCGCAAAAACAAAGCTAGCTCCTAACAAAAAAAGTGATTGAAAAAGTCACCCTCTGTGCAGTTTACGCCTTTTTTGGATAAAAAGCTATATGGGGCACGGACAACACACCTGGTACGCTACAGTGGTCATAAAATTAGAAGTCTGCATGAAGCCCACAAGAACGTCCAACTAACCACCTTCCCTCTCAGATTCTCATAGAGTTCACACAGCCTGCTCACTTCCATTAGGTTATGATTACAAAAAAAAAACAACCAAACAAACAACAAAAGAAAAAAATCACAAAACACAACCCTCCCCTCCCACAAAGAATAAAACCCCAAAGAAAACAAAGACTTTCGGCTACAAGATTTATATATGGGTTAACAGAAAGTAGTAAGATTAATGTACCGCTGCAGCAAAGTTTATTTTATATTGAAGAAAAATGAATACATACACCAGAAATAGCAATTTTGTTACTGCATGGGACTTGCAAGAAACCACTAAAAATAATTTACTTGTGCTGTAACGGAGCAGATAGAGCTGTGCGCAAGCAGTGGGAGAGGAAATACCGGTTTCAGGCATCCGGAGATGATCATAATCACAGCTGGAGAAACACGATTTCAGGACCTGGGAAAAACAGCTTGCTTTGCAAGTCAACTGCCCATAATTTCTGCGTTTATCACAGGATAATAAAGCAGTCTGCGTGCAGAACTTCTGTCACCTCGACTTCAAAGTGATGCTACGGGCAAATTACCATCCCACCCCTTTTAAGATGGAAAAAGAGTCATTGATTTGTTTCAAGGAAATAAAATCATAGCTACGTAAGAGTATCATCCTTTTGAAGCCCCCCGTTCCCAAAGCAAAGGTCCTAGCAACACTTATTGTAGACTAGAACTTAAAGGTGCCCCGTTTAGAAAAGCAACTGACATTAAGACGTGCTAAAGGAGTCAGAGTAAACCTTAATAGATTTACATTAAACTGTAGCGGCAGCATAACCTGCATTCAGAACATATACTGCTTTGCCTCCTCTAGATTTTCAAACACGTATTGCTATTTCCTGACAACTATGTTTTAAACCACAGGAGACACAAATCTGAGAGCCCATGTTTCCTTTCCACATCCAGAAATTTTCTCCAAATTTCATCAGTCTTACAAAGTACAGATTCCTGCTCTAGAGGCAGTTTACTATTGCAAATTTGGGGCATGCTGTATTGAATGCCCTTCTTAAACTTGCGTTTGTTAAACACTCACTGATTCTAAACTAAAATTGTACGATAATGACAGTTTAAGGAGGGCAGCAATTTTGTAAGAGTTCTGCTCATGAATGAAAGTGAAATTAGGTGACCGATACATACAATTTTGCACAGCTAAGAATGGAAGCCAGCGCTTGATGAACACCTGAAAGATTATAAATGGTAAATTTGTTCAAAAACATACATCTAAAAGGGAAATACAGACTAAGTTGGCTGTCAAATTAGGTGAAGGGTGACATGGTGTTTTTATTCCCTGCCCTTGATGCTACTGATAACACAGAGGGTGAACAAAATATATGGTGGCATGTCTTCTGCTACGGCAAGAGGGGGGACTTTATTTGCAAATAAAGTTTCCTTTCTTTCTAATCACCCTGCTTTGATTCTGCCTGAACTCGAGGACGCGCGTGTTCAGGACTTGTCTAGCGATACGCACTTAAAGTTCTAAAACCAGACTGCAATACTCTAACATAAACTAGTGCAAAACCCAGATTACACACGTTATACGCACCGAGCATTCATTAAATCAGCAACGAAGATGGGAAACGGAAGACTCGTTAACCAAGACATGACAGGATCACCACTGCAATTTCTGGAAGTAAAACAGCCACCGTTCGCCAAGGGCCAGCGGAGAGCTGGAGCAGAGCCCTGGCTCAGTTCGGTAACTGTCAAATTAACGCAGTTAGCAACGACATTCACAAGTCCTGCTGTGCACGAAATAGGAAACAAGCTCCCGACATACTGGGAACAGAGCGATGCAAAAGTGGTAAAGTGATGATGATAAAAACCAGCATGAAGAAGGTATGCGCAGGTGGGTTTTATCTGAAGCGGCAAGTGCAAGCGCGCGGGAAAGAGGCGGCGGACGAGAGGCCGTCCGTCACCTCGCCGCCCCTTTCCCTTGGTCGTGCTGACGCCCCGGACCCTCTGCTCCGCGCGAGGGGCGGC